GAGTTAAATAATACCACCCCCTTGACTCCTTAGCTATCACCCTAGGCTGGAATAGGGTGATGAAGATGTGGAGAGGCATGTCCTCCCCAAGTGACACTTCCTTTCACAGGAAGTATGAGCCACCCAACTGGCTCCACCCATTTGGCAGAACTTGTGTCAGCGACAACATAAAGTTTCTCAGCACCACCCTAAAGAAGGGGTGTAGAGGAAGATGCATACCTACCTTAAACAGGTATTCACTCACCGTCACGCACCCGAGCCTCGGATAGCAGGCGCGCTCATGAGCCTCGGGTACCAACATTTCCACATAATGAGGTACACAGTACCTCTCCCTGATTTTTCCCAGCCTCTTCAAAGTCATATTTGAAGGCACTTTGGACGCCCCCCAATCCTCACTATAATCTACTGGCTCCTTGGTCATAGCTTATTGCTCGACCTCGGGGTCCCCTCTGTGACTTGCCCCCTCGCCGAATGATGCAATAGTTACTAATTCCCTACCCGAGGTGGACTCCATATCAGAATCAACTCAATGCAAAGGATTTTCTGGGAAAATACCTATGGGAAATGACTACGCGAATGAAGTAACGCCGAAAAACTAGAGGATCGACTGTTTGGACGCCGAAAAACTTGAGTTTTTAGGAAGAAACCAGATTGCAAAGAATAAAAATCCAAAAAAATGGGGGTCTCTAGCCTTTTATAAAGGGCCAAAACGAACCCCAGCAGTCTGATCAAAGCCCATTGAATCTGAACCCTTCATTCTAAACGAAATCTGAGGCGTAGAATTCAAACGATTTTTCAAACCTACGCTTCAGATTCAACCGTGTCCTCCACGCATCTCCCCAAACGCGTCTGCTTCTAGAAGCTCTAGCTGTGCTCATAATTATGACTTTAATTCGATGGCAGCAGACGCCTTGGAAGTTGAACGGTCCAACCACCTTTCCTCGAAAATATGCGTAAAACATCAAATCATTGGCACAACTTCCAAGGAACAATCATTACTAATGGGCATCAGAATTCAGCGACCACAAGCCTCGCAGGTTCGGTTCTCAACCACCTCGGGTTCCTCAACAGAATTCAGCCTCTACAAGCCTCGCAGGTTCGATTTCTCAACCACCTCGGCTCCCTCATCAGAATTCAGCCTCGCAGGTTCAGTTCTCAACCGCCTCGACTTGCTCATCAGAATTCAGCCTCCACAAGCTTCGCAGGTTCGGTTCTCAAACCACCTCGGCTTCATCATTCTTCCATAATGCACATTTCTAACTTCAACCATGATATAAATATCTATACTTGGACTTGACGGACTATTATTTGGGATACAAAAATTTCAAAAAATTTCTTTCAACCTAACTGGCTGGCCTTACTTTATCAAAGTCCTCGCATTACATAAATAACTATACTTGGACTTGGGAGACTATTGTTACGTGTTTGCACACTTGGACAGCCCACCGGGGCCCACAGCCAACTCACGTCGAACTACGTGGCATTGAAGCCGAGGTGATTCCCATGCCGAGGCCCGTAACCCGAGGTCCACAAAAGCCAAGGCCCATGTATACCGAGGCCCATCTATCATTGCCTCTTGAAGAGATTTCGAAGCTCATATGTCAAGGCCCTTTGAAGGTGGACGAGGCCTTGTTGGCCGAAGCTTTGTAGCCGAGGAAGTAGCCTCCGAATCACAAAGTAGACGCTTCTCCCGAGAGATCTTCTGCACAAAGATCTCACTTAAATGATTGATATGACGTTTGTCATTAGTGTAATGTTAAGTCTTATCACTAGTAGAGGCGGCTCTACCAATCAATAAATGTATAGCAGGCTAGGTGCGGCTGATGCCTACAATTTGACACGTAAATTAACTGGATGAGGCCACGTGTACCTCGAACCAAAGGTCACGATCTAACTTGTAACACTATAAATACTCCCCCATGTATCCCATACAAAGGCTAATGTAATAATCAATACAAGAAACCATACTTTACTCAACTCTCTCTTTTTTATTATCTTGCAACACAAACGAGTTCATACATATTTAGATACACATTTACAAACATCGATTGATAATTATTGTACAATCGGTATACGAACTTCTTGCCCGATTCCAAACGTTCTCGTTCCGCGCCGTTGAGCTACTCCCAAGCCCTTGATCTGTCCATTTTAGACCGTCCACGTATCTTTGCGTGTTGGACTTTCGCTTACGTGTGCGTGGGTGGGTTCGATATCTGTTGACAACATATTCTGATATCAACAAAATTAATAAATAAATAAATTAATTAATTAATTAAATCGTAAATAAATTTCAATAATTTACTTAATTTTGAAATGGCTAATACTTATATTCCTTCCCAAATTAAAATACCGACATGGCTGATGTAGCCTCCGAACTCTCCTTTTCGTTTACAGAATTGTGCAAGCAACTCATTTCTTCTTTCTCACTCATACCCGTATCCCTCTCTACAAATCTGTGAAAAAACAAGCCTAATTTCTTGACGGGAAAAAAACCATGTCTTCCTCAACAAAGCGCCGTGATATGGACCTTATGAAGCTGTTAATTCTCTCCATAAAATCTTTAAATTTTGCTTATTTGTTGTGTTATTAATTTTTAGTTGTTTGAATATATATTTTTAACTTTTTTTTTCTTGGAGTAGGATGATGAGCGATTACAAGGTGGAGATGATCAATGATGAGATGCAAGAGTTCTATGTACATTTTCATGGACCTAATGACAGTAAATCTCGCATACCCATCTTTTTGTTCTCAATCTTTTTTAGTTAATAATAATGGAATTTTTTAGGTTTTTGAGGTTTCTATACATGGGGTTTTCTTGGATTATCTTCTTAATTTATACCGGTCGATTATGCATGTTTCACTGAGTTTTTTTATTTTCTTTTTTTTTTTATGTAATTTAGGCGATTTCTTTGATTACCATGATAGTTTGTAAGAATTCTTGTAGAAAAATATAAAAAAGACTCTTTTGCTTTTTCTTGACATGGAAATTAATCAATTCTGATATATTTTGTTTTTGTTTGGGCTTCTTAATTTGGTTGGGAAAAGTACCAAAATTTATATTGCCTTCTTAGGTGAAGAATGATCTTTATAAAGATTATTGGAAGGAGTTGCCTCTTATTTATGCTGCTACCATCTTGTTGTGCTAAAGCCCCAATATTGTGTTTGTGAAAGATATAAATCTCCATATATACGTCTGTACATTGTCTAGCAGCTTAAGCTTATGGAAGAAATGGTTCAATGCTTTAGGTAGAGGTTCTGATTTTAAGTCTTAATGCCACCCATTTATGAAATTCATGCATGCATCAAGCTTTTGATTAAAGAAACGATATCTAATCCCTGCTTGATGGGTGCATATTCAGGATATAATGTAAATAAATTAATTTGTTAACTCTAACTGACTAAGCTTTCAGATGAGTTGGTTCAAGATACCATTTTTGGAATTTGCTTGTAGTTTCTGTTCGTCTCTTTTGTCGGACATACTAAATTATGGAGTATTTGGGATGGCTATTCTGCAAAAAGAATTTCTCTTCTGGTATCTGTTTAATTATAACTAACCTTCCTTGTTGTCTGGTGTCTGTGTTATGATTCTAGAACCCAAAGTATACTAAACAAGAATAAACGGAAACAAAGAATGGAAACAAAAAGCACCGGGTGCGTGTCTGGGAAAATTAGTTGTGGTGCAGAGTTAAGGACGTATTGCTTACACTCTCTTGATCTGTTGCAGTGCCTTTGAGTTTTTCCTTAATTTTGCGACTCTGCTTAGCGATTCACACTTTTGTCGTTTGTTAATTGAAGCCCAGTGTCAACTGTTCTGATTGAATGTGGTAGGTCCTTACCACGGTGGTGTGTGGAAAGTAAAGGTGGAGCTTCCGGACGCTTATCCGTACAAATCACCGTCCATAGGGTTTGTTAATAAGATCTATCATCCAAATGTTGATGAGAGGTGAGTATTGTAATATAGCGTTCAAGATCTATATTTTCCCTTTATATTAAGGAAAATCTTAATATTTTAACCAATTTAGGTCTGGCTCGATTTGTTTAGACGTTATCAATCAGACCTGGAGTCCCATGTTTGGTAATAACTTTTGCTGTATTTTGCAGCTTAATTGAGATTCTTGATAATTATTTGAACTTTCGTCGTTCAGATCTTGTCAATGTGTTTGAAGTATTTATACCACAACTTCTTCTGTATCCAAATCCATCGGACCCTTTGAATGATGAGGCAGCAGCTCTGATGATGCGCGATAGAATTGCATATGAATTAAAAGTTAAAGGTATCGAGATTTTTACTCTAATGGCATGTTTGATAAGTGATTGTTTGCATTTGCTTATACTTCAAAGGTCAAAGTCATATTTTAATTTCAACCACATATTTCGTAGGATCCACGATTACCACCACTTATCCATCACTCATTTCTATCACTTTACAATTTCAGCAACTTATAAGTAAAACCAAACAAGCAAGAAAAATAAACTAACATCTTGTCAAGTCCTTTTCAGTACTACATACCAAAAATATACGCTAAATATTTAATAAAGAAATTGTGGTTGATGCAATCTGACTATCTGAGAGTGTTCTTTAGACATGGGTTGATATCAGGCTTCCTAGTGGAGTCCCATTTTTTCACTTGCACTCAGTAAGGTGACTGATACTGTGTAGTCCCTGAAAAATTAATATGTGGAGAACTTTTTTTGCGGTCAAATATATTTAGTATGGGAATATTGAGTTTTACTTCCCAAGTATTTTATATTGCACTCCAAGTCAATAGAGCCAATCCAATTGCTTGCTGCTGCTTTCTTGTCGTGTTGTTTCTTAACGATAATGATTAATCTTGTTACTTGAGAACTGTAATGTTTTTTCCTTTCATGGATGAAAATAGCCACTCATTTGATAATCTTTGTTACAAGTTTTATAGTACTATCACCACCCCCCGGTTAATATTGTGCTTGAATTTTGATATTGGATTCTTATCTTCAAATACATTATAGTGTTCTATTTCATGCCTTACTTGGATTAAAACATAATGAGAATGTGACAAAACATATTTGCTGATCATACAGAGTACTGTCAAACATTTGCCAAGCCGGAAGACGTGGGAGTGGGAGCCGCCCCGGAAAAAAAATCAAGTGATGAGGAGCTTAGCGAAAACGAATACGACTCAAGTGATGAGGCTGTTGCCAAGGCAGTGGATCCATAGCCCAGATTCCATATCTGTAATTGCTTGAATTTGAGCATGGTGATATGGATCAAATTTGAATTGCACATAAGATTATTCATTGGGACGGATACAAAAGAAGTAATCCTTCCCTTTTCTTTTAGTTTATGTAAATAGATGTAAACCTAGTTCACCTGCAAAGAAAATGCTTGTTCATAATGTATTTCATAATCTTATTGTCCTGCAAAAATTGTGGTCGAGATGTTTCGAGAACACGGGCTTGATCGTCTGCCATTTTTTTCCTGTGTGTAGAATTACGGTGCTCGCAACCTTTCTTTTAAAGTGCTAAACTGCAATTAACTTCGAATGTGTGCCCTGGTAGGCCCCCTTGTACACGGAAAACGGGGGAGAAAGTCAAAATATGTCGGCTGCAAATGTATGGGATGTAGACGGGCCATTCCCTAGATCTTGGAATGTATTGAGCCAAGTTGAGCTCTAGGGGCCGACTGCACGGACTTGAATTTACAGTGGTTCATTCTCTATTGTCTGACTAGTTTATCCAAGAGAGAATCCATCCTGCACTATTTATTCATCATGAAGTATTTTTGTTTTCCCATTTCACCTTTAAGCATTTGTAAAGAGAGGAGTTTGTGTGTGGACAAGAAAGGACTATGGATGATGTCTCTATTGCCACAATTGTGGACTGAGGAACTGGGATTTCACTATTGGTAACTGTGAAAAGTGGTGTTTCTCAAAACACACTAAAACGAGTGCTACTTTTGTCAATTGAGGTTTCGGCTTATTTGGAAAATTCTGCCTAATTGGCACTCGACTATTGGATACTTGATACTCATTTGAATTGTGTTAGTTGAGACTCGTTTTGGACCATTGGATTAAACCAACGGCTGAGATCATCCCAGGGATGAGAACCGTCCAAATACACCCAAAAGTCTCGTGACTTTTGGGGCAGATTTTCAGATTTTTCCTCTCTCCTTTTTGGCGTCTGTCTCTGCTTCCTCTTGAGTTTTTTTTTTGAATCTGTAAATTTCTCTCTTAGTGTATAGTTTCTGCGATTTGGTTATAGAGTTTATATTTTGAGTTAATGATCAGGCCTGAGAGAGTGGCTGATCTTGTATTGTAAAACTCCTAAACGATTGGTTGATTTAGTGGTTGTGTGTTTCACGAGATCTTTAGAGCTGTGACTGAAACTGTAAGATCTGAGTGGTTCTTGATGCACTCTTGCTCTCTTGGAAGGTAGATTGTGTCATAGTGGAACGGGCTGTCCCTGAGCCCCCCAGATTAGGCCTATTCACGGCTGAACTGAGTTAACAACTTGGTGTTCTAGTGTTATTTTTCTGTTCTCATTGTGTGTTGTCGATTTTTACTGCAAATTTAGTTTACAAATCAATCGAAATTTTTTACAAATTGGTATCAGAGTCTTCTGGCTTCTGGGTTCGGTATACTCTATATAAATCCATGCTGGGTTATTTTTGGGTTTCGAATAGTGGAGATCGTTTTCCAGATCTACACAAAGGCGGTTCGGTTATTTCTTTTTTTTCGATATTCTTTTTTGGCAATTACAGTTACTGATTCGTTTGAGTTTCTTGGAAGGTGACATTGAAAGGAGGTTCGAGTTTACTGGCTGGTTTTTTTTTTTTTTTTTTTTTTTTTTTTTTTTTTTTTTGACACTGCAGTAATCTGGTACGATCTTACCGTTACTCCTTTGGATCTGGTTTGACACAGGTTATTCATGATATAGTTTATTTCATGATGCATGTTGTTCTTGATTTAGTTAACAGAAATAGTATACTAGTTATCTATCTATTAACTTGTGATCTAGTCATTGAACCTGCCTTGCACCTTTGACATATCTGACTGAAGTTTTGATATATCTGTTTGTTTTGATATATATATATATAAACTGTCAAATATCTATTGTACTTAACTCAATCTTAGAAAAGTTGTTACTGAATTTTTGGGTTTCTTGAAACGGTCTATTATTGGTTTTCTCGAAATTGCTTGATATAAAAATTTTCAAAAACCTTTTCTGCTATATCCATGAGTAATGCCCACCCATTTACAGAATCTGTAATGGGTTCGAAGGTCGAATTGTCCCAATTCGATGGAAAGAGAGACTACTCTATATGGAAGCAGAAAATGAGGGTCATTTTGGTCCAATAGAGGGTTGCAAAAGCCCTCGATGATCCTGCAACTTTTTCTGATGAGTTAAAAACAAAACCTGACGAAATTGAAGAAATGAATGAGATTGCCTATAGTTCTATAATCCTACATTTATCTGATAATGTGGTTAGACAAGTTGATGATTCTAAAACTGCAAGAACTTTGTGGACTACCTTGGATGGTTTGTTCTTAACCAAAACTCTACCTAACAAGATATATCTGTTAAAAAAACCATTTAGTTTTAAAATGGACCCAGGAAAGGATTTGGAAGTCAATTTGAGTGACTTCAGTATTATAGTTAAGAGTTTAGTGCACAATGATAAAAATTTTGAAGATGAGGACTTGGCTGTTATTCTTTTAAATTCACTGCCTAAATCTTACAAAAATGTTAAGAATGCCATAAAATATGCTAGGGACACTCTTACACAATCGATTGTAATAGATGCATTAAGGTCAAGAGAGTTAGAACTTAGGAGAGAAAACAGAACCAACCATAGAGAAAAGAGTCTATTTGTAAGGGGAAGAATTGAAAAGAAGGAATTTAATTTCCAAAACAAGAAAATGAATGGGAGATCTAAATCTAAAGATAGAAGTAATAAGAAGTGTTATAACTGTGGGAAGTTGGGACACTTTAAGAGGGACTGGTTTGATTGGAAAAGAAAATTAAAAGATCAGAATAATGCAGCCATAGTGTCAGAATTGGATAGCCTGCATGTATTAAATGTGTCAACTGAAAACTTTATTAGAGACTGGATTCTAGATATTGGATATACCTTTCATATGTGTCCTGAAAAACATGGTTTTATAACTATAAAGAAATGGAACCAGGAAAGGTGTATATGGGTGATAATAATTTCCAAACTGTGATTGGCACGGGTGACATTGCCATAAAAATGTATGATGGCATTGTCAGAACTTTAAGAAATGTGAGATATGTCCCAAATCTGAAAAGGAACCTCATTTCACTAGGGATACTTGAAGATGAGGGATATACCTTCAAATCTGATAATAAAAACCTGAAAATTATGAAGGGCTCTTTAGTTGTGATGAAAGGACCTAAAAGGAATGGGTTATATTATCTAGAGGGAGAAACAGTTATATCACCTGATTCAAATGCTTTAACTGTTAATGAAAACAAATCTAGTCTTTGGCACAATAGAATGGGACATATTGGAAATAAAGAGCTAAAATCTTTAAGTAATCAAAAATTACTTGGAAAAGATGACATTGGGTCAGTGAACTTTTGTGAGACTTGTGTGTTGGGTAAGTCTCACAATGTTAGTTTTGAATCTAGCTCATACAGAATCAATAGGCCCTTGGATTATGTGCATGCTGATTTTTGGGGCCCAGAAAAACACTCCAATTTTGGTGGAAGTAAATACTTCTTATCACTTGTAGATGACTACTCAAGGAAGGTTTGGATCTATCCCTTAAAACCTAAATCTGAAACCTTCTAGAAGTTCAGAACATGGTTGAAAATTGTTGAAAATCAATTAGAGAAGAAATTAATAACCCTAAGAACTGATAATGGGCTGGAGTTCTGTAATATAGAATTTGATAATTTTTGTAAACAGAAAGGAATATTAAGACATAAGACTGTGAAATACACACCTCAGCAAAATGGGGTAGCTGAGAGAATGAACAGGACAATAATGAATAAGTAAGATGCATGCTTATTAGTTCTGGTTTGGCTAACGGGTTTTGGGCTGAAGTTGCTTGTACAGCAGCTTACTTGATTAATAGGCCCCCTTCTAGTAGTATAGGGTTTAAGACCTCACAAGAATTGTGGACAGGAAAAACCCCAAACTTAACTTATATAAGGGTTTTTGGATGTGCAGCATATGCACATCAATCCGAAGGAAAGTTGGAACCTAGAGCCATCAAATGTGTGATGCTAGGATATCCAGAAGGTGTTAAAGGCTACAGGTTGTGAGTTTTGGGTGTTCCAGGCATTAAGATTATTAATAGTAGATATGTAATCTTTAATGAATCAGAAATGCCATGCCTAAAACAAAGTTCTAAAGGAACAAATGAATCTGTAAACAACCAGACCGTTCAGAGTGAGGTGAAATTAACTAAATTTAACCCATCTCAACTTGGAGATGATGAAAATGAAGTTGTACATCATCGGGTTGAACAAGTTACTGAACCTGTAGAGCCTAATGAACCCCAGAATGGGGTTGAAACTAAAGAACCTGAACATACTGTTGAACAAACTGAGGCTCAAGACTATCAATTAACTAGGGATAGGGTAAGAAGACAACCTAGACCCAATCCTAGATATGAACTATTAACTATGACAGACTTTGCCTTAGTCTCTAAAGAAGAAATAGAACAAGCTGAACCAACTTCTTATGAAGAAGCTATTCATGGGAAAAATTCTGAAAATTGGTTACAGGCCATGAAAGAAGAAATGCAATCCCCGAATGAAAATAAAACTTGGAATCTTGTTAAAAAACCTAAGGATCATAGGGTAGTGCAGTGTAAATGGGTTTACAAGCTTAAAGAGGGTAATGACCCATCTGACCCTGTTAGGTTTAAGGCTAGACTAGTGGCAAAGGGGTATACTCAGATAGAGGGAGTTGATTACAATGAGATATTCTCACCTGTAATCAAATATAAAACCATAAGGTTGATATTGGCCATGGTTGCTCAATATAATTGGGAACTTGAGTAACTTGACGTGAAAACTGCATTCTCACATGGGGAATTGGAAGATGATATCTTCATGAGTCAGCCTCAAGGTTTTGAAGTTAAAAACAAAACTGAATATGTTTCTAAACTGGAAAAATCATTGTATGGGCTGAAACAGAGCCTTAGACAATGGCATAAAAGGTTTGATACATATGTGTTAAAGATTGGGTTAAAGAAGTGAATTTGATGCTTGCTTATACTATAACAATATGAAAAGTGGGGGGGAAATTTATTTACTACTTTACGTAGATGATATGCTTCTAGCCAGTCCTCATAAGTCTCAAATTTCTAAATTAAAGAATCTTTTAAAATCTGAATTTGATATGAAGGACCTAGGATATGCTAGAAAAATTCTAGGGATGGTTATAAAAAGAATCAGATCTGAAAACAAGTTAACC